GGGTTGCCATGTTTCAAAAAGTAAAAACCAGGACACCACAAAACTTGAGGGTATTTTTTAGGAAACCCCCTAAAAACCACTAAAAGAATGCAATTTTTCGACTGACTTGCCTAAGATCCAGGACAACGTGCCGACTTTTGGAAATTCCCCCCGGATGGCAATTCCGCCTTTGAAATCCCAGTAATGTCCAGAAAAATCTGGATGTATGGCAGGCCTTTTGAGAAAGACACTCCAGAGCATCAACATCACAACCTCAACTTGTGTTAGCAGGACCTCAGATGTCTCATCTCAGGAAAGCTCACTACAAAGTCTATGAATAGCTGCCCTTTGACTATGTGACACTCTCAGAGCTCCATAGAAATACCAAGGGAAAGTGAAGCTTTCCTGGCCATGGGACACTTTATTGTGTGATGTTGTTGTTTTGTATACCCTGTTGGCACCCTGTTGGGGTGACGCAGGAGTACGCATACCCCTAAACATTTTGTGAATCTAAGTTTGGCCTCATTGAGGGGCAGTATTTCAATGTGAGTAGGAAAATGAAAGCACCCCTAAACAATTTTTTAAGGAAAAAAGCATTGCCTGTTGGAATCCGCCCAGAGTGGCTGGGGCAACCCAGTCAGATGGGTGGGGTACTAAAAATAAATTATTCTCCTTATTAATTATTATGGGGTTCCGCAATCATTTCAGTGGAAAGTAGTCCCTGTGTATTCAAGAGCTTAATGCAGAAAGAATGGGGAAGTTCTTGCCAGGCTGGTTGAGGCTTTGTCTGTGTGTGTACCAGGTTCTCCTCAGACCTGTGGCAGAAGAACTCACTCAGGTCACATATCCACACCATCTATTTAAGGCACACAGCTTCCCCCAAAGATTCCTGGGAACTGTAGTTTGTGAAGGATGCTGGGAACTGTAGTTCTGCAAGGAATAAACTACGGTTCCCAGGATTCTTTGAGGCACCATGTTCTTTAGATGTTTATTAAATGTGCTGTAAATGTATGGCACGGATATGATCTCCGTCTAAGCAAAGATTCCTGGAAAAGAGAAGATCTCAAGGCGTGTGGTTTTTAACTTGGTCAATCCCCCCCCCACACATATTCTTCTCCCTGGAGACACATCAGGAGCAGAAAACAAGCCATTTGGCTTCATCCATGTGCTTGAATGTGGCCCAGCAATCTGCTCTCAATTAGGGAGGTTTGACTGCACACGATCCACCAGGAGTGCCGAGACTCCATTGAAAAGAAAAAAGAGGGGGAAGAGTCTTGAGCCTCATCATGCGAGAGCAAGTTTATTCATTTTCTTGTTTATATGCAGGAAAGTGTGGTGAGCAAACGAAGAAGAAAAAGCCCTCTGTTGGGTGCATAAAAGAACTGCCGAGCCGTTGAGTCAAAAAAAGGCTCAGCCCGATGCAGAGGCCGTTAATAGCCGCCCCTGCCAGGAGGAGACATTCCTTGCATTTGTGTCGGGTTTTGTTCTCTGGTTCCTACTCCACACTTTAAAAGGAAGCCAAAGGCTAAATGTGGGTGCTGGTAGTAGAGATTCAATAGCCTGCAATTCATGCCATGGCATTATGCACTCTACTAAGAGAGAGAGAAAGCCAGGCTGAAAAGAATACAAGGCTCTTTGCAAGAGAACACTCCCCGAGAAATGGAGCGCTTGAAATTTGCGAGGTCCACATGGCTAGCCCAGAAGCCGGCGGCTGTGTATACAACAGTCAACCAGGCTTTCACTGGGATTCCTGAGCAATGCAATATGATGACCGTCTAACACCGTGACTTCTTCATCCAGGTAGAGTGGTACCTTGGTACTTGAACAGCTTGGCTCCTGAACAAATCAGCTCCCGAACGCCGCAAATCCGGAAGTGTTCCAGTTTGTGAACATTTTTCGGAAGCTGAACATCCGACGCGGCTTCTGTGGCTTCCAATTGAGTGCAGGAAGCTCCTGCAGCCCATCAGAAGCCGCGCCTTGGTTTTCGAACCGTTTCAGGGGTCAAACGGACTCCCAGAACGGATTAAGTTCGAGAACCAAGGTCCCACTGTAGTGTGCAGAGGAAGGCAACCAAAATGAAAAGCGGTCATTTTGGAAACCAAGCCTTATGAGGAACATTTGAGGGAGTTGTGTATGTTCAGCCTGCAGAAGAGAAAACTGGGAGGCGATACCACAGTCATCTTCAAATATCTGAAGGGCTGCCACGAGGATGACAGGGCAAACTTCTGCTGCCCAGGAGGGCAGGACCCAAACCAATGGCTTCGAGTTACAGGAAAGGAGATTCCGGCTAAACATCAGGAAGAGCTTTCTGACAGTAATAGCTGCTTGACAGTGGAACTGTCTCCCTTGGGAGGTTGTGGAATCTCCTTCCGTGGAGGTTTTCAAGCAGAGGTTGGATGACCATCTGTCATGGGTGCTTTAGTTGTGATTCCTGCATTGCAGGGGGCTGGACTAGATGACCCCCAAGGTCCCTTCCAACTCTACATTTCTATGATTCCGTAGTGTCAAACCACGCTAGAGCTTACTTTCCACAATGTCACTTATTCCACGTGGAAGCTGGTGGCATACCAAAAGCTTTAGCATTCAAAGCAGAAGCAGGTGGCACTTTTCAAACTGAGGGCCTCATTTTGCCCTGAGGGAAAAGTGGGTGGAGAAACAAATGAACATTTCATCTTCATACAGTGAGCTGGTTTCCTCACACACAGACAGTCTATTCTCCGCGTTACCAGAGTCTAAGAGACACATTTCATACTCAAGGAGAGAGGGAGGAGTAGAGCTGGTAAGGGGTGTGGCCAGGAGCATGGGTGTGGTCAAGGAGGGGAGTGGCCTAGGACGAGACCCAAGACCCAGAGAGAGAGAGAGAGGCCTGGTGGTCCATAGTTTGGTCCCCCACTTGTACATTAAAGGAGAGGGAGGGCTTGTGCAATTTCACGTCCTTAGGAATGCAAGACGACTGCAAAAGCCACTCAAGTGGGCTTGAGAAAGGTTGGTGGTGGTGGTGGTATGCAGAGCCAGTTTGGTGCAGTGGTTAAGAGCGGTAGACTCATAATCTGGTGAAGCGGGTTCGCATCTCCGCTCCTCCACATGCAGCTGCTGGGTGACCTTGGGCCAGTCACACTTCTCTGAAGTCTTTCAGCCCCACTCACCTCACAGAGTGTTTGTTGTGGGGGAGGAAGGAAAAGGAGATTGTTAGCCGCTTTGAGACTCCTTCGGGTAGTGATAAAGCGGGATATCAAATCCAAACTACTACTACTACTCCTTCTTCTCCTTCTTCTTCTTCTTCTTCTTCTTCTTCTTCTTCTTCACTAACCTTCCTCAAGCTGATGGCTGCCAGGTGTTATGGACTCCACCTCCCATACCCCACAACCAACACAACCATTTAGTCCAAAGCATCTGGAGGAGAGCAGGTTGGGAGAGGTCAGGGTGCACCGTACAAAGCTGTATCTCTCTGCATTCATGGCTTGTTGCTATACTGAGGTGGAGGGATTTGTACATAAGAATTCTCCCTTAGAAAAAGACAGGGGTCACATCTCCAACCTTTTTTGGGTCCAGGAGCACATTTGGAAATTGGGGGAGGGGGAGTTGGAACCCTGCTGTGGGCACCACCACTGCCAGAGAGGGCCAGCCAAATCTCAGAAATGCTGCCAAGATCACCCACCTTGTCACAGGGAGATCAGGGCTCAAATACCCACCTGGCCGTGAAGTTCACTGAGTGACCTTGGGTCGATCATTCATTCTCAGTCCAACCTCCCTCACAGGGTTGTTGGGGAGAAGTATGAGCTTCTTGGAGGAAAGATGGGATATACATGTAGTAAATAAATGTTGGGTCTGAGCCTCAGATACTGACCTGCACATTAGCACCCCCCCCCCAAAAAAAGGCACAACAAAATAACCCATTTCACAGAAGGAAAATAGCCAATGCTCCAAGAAACACATCCATCACCATGCAAAGCCACACACACATAAAAACCCCTAACTGAACTGGCTCAATCATACCCAAGATTTATTTCATTATTTATTTATTCATTCATGAAGCAGGGGATTCAAACCCTGCTTTCCCAGGTCATAGTGAGACACGCTAACCACTACACCACACTGGCAGGGGTCTTCCCTGGGTGCCAAAAGGAGCTCTGGTGGTATCTCAGGGCCCACAGGTGCTGTGTTGGCCTGAACAGTAAGGGAACAGAGAGGCACTCTCTGGGCAGACTTGAGTGCTTACATGGCTGAGCGGCCGAGTCCCCAACACACGCACAAAAACTGTTGACAGCAGTTCAATGTTCATTGTCAACATCCACACTTAGCAAGCTGAATTTAAATAATGTGCAGCGGAGAGAGGAGAACGCAAGGATAATTAAGGTGGGAGAATATATAGGAGACCTGGTTAACCTGAAGAGCAATTAAGAGCTGACTCAGGAGGAACGAAATAATAAAGGGAGAGAGGGTTGATGACTCCAGGAGTTCCTGGGCCTCTGACCAACTTCTGCAAGGAAATTCAGCCCTGGAAGCTGAAGGAGGAAGTGGGCAGATGTATCAGTATGAGCAAGGGTCCCACCAAAGATTCCTCCCATTCTCCATGAACGAACGAATGAGAAAATAAATTGCATTTGAATACCATCAAGGGGGAGAAAACATTTTGGTGGAGCACAAGGTGGGTGCTTACCTTACTTTTGAGGTGGCCATGGGGTGTTTTTGTGACTGTTATTTTTTTCATTCACACCAGGGGTCTGCCTTCCTGGGTGCCCACACTTCAATTAGAGCCCAGGGGAAGAGATCATGTGGTTACTCCTGCTTGGTGGTTTCCCACAAGCTTCTGGTTGGGCACTGTGAGGACAGGATGCTAGACTAGGTGAGCCACTGGCCTGATCAATGCCAGCTCTTCTGGCATTCTCACTCCTGCCTTGGGGCTTTTTCAGCTCAGGAAGTGCAGCCTCTGACCAGTGTAGAAGACGCTGAGTGGGTGGACCAATTGATATACGGGAGCTTCCTAAATCCCTGTGTCAGGTTCTGTCTTGGATACGTATCTGGGGAAGAGCTGTAGCTCAGTGGTAGAGCATCAGCTTTGAATGCAGAAGGTCGCAGGTTCAATCCTCAGCATCTCCAGGTAGGGCTGGGGGAACGTCCCCTGCCTGAACCCCTGGAGAGCCTCTGTCAGTCAGTGTAAACAATGTGGGGCTAGATGGACCCATGGTCTGATGTGGGATAATGTAGCTTTCTGTACAATCCCAGTACCAAGAGAACAAACTATGACTCTGTTGGATGGGAGAGAGTTTACAGATCTGGAACCAAAGAGAATTCCCCTTTTCTTCCTGCCCCCCCCCGGTGTTTTCCTCCCGTTTTCATTTGGAGTGGGTTATATTTAAACACCAAGCTGCAAACAGTGCAGAAAATATAAAAGTCTAAATTGGCTTTGCAGCGGGACCGCCGGCACCTCCTTGCCAATGGCTTGACCGCTTGCGACCCTAATGGCTACAGTCAACAATCAGCACTCTCTCATTAATCACTGCTAATTAACTTCATTGATTCTCAAGGCCAGGAATACCAGCACACGCGGTCCACGAGCAGCAATTTTATTACATAAAATAATGCGGCCTCCTCGAAATAGCTTTAGGGAATAGGTGCTTTGTTGGTGCTGCTGAAAGATGGAAAAACAAAATAGGAGAAGGCTACTTTGCTTTGGAGTTGAAATCTTTAAAAAGGGGTTGAGCTTCTGTTGATTGAAAGCTGGCATGCGTCAAAAGGTTCAGTGGCAGAGCATCTGCCTCACATGCAGAAGGTCCCAGGTTCAAATCCCAACATCTCCCCATAGGGCTAGGAGAAAAACTACTGCCCATCCGAGTAAACAGTACTGAGCTCAATGGACCAATGGGCTGATGGGGTATAAGCCAGCTTCCTATGTCCCAAACTGCTTGGAAAGCACTCAGAGATAGGGCACCTGTTTTGCATGCAGAAGGTACTGGTTTCAATCCCTGGCATCTCCAGGAAGGGCTGCAAAATAGCCCCCTTTCTGAAACCCTGGAAAGGCACTGCCATTCAGTATGGACCAGTCCTGCCCTACCTGGTGACCTCCAGCTGTTTTGGATTACAACACCCTGACAATTGAGTGTGCTGCCCAGGGCAGTTCTAGTCTAGGGCTGGGCAATATCTGGTTTTTCAGCATTGTGATATATCACCAGCAAAACATTTTGATAGGGGACGCGGGTGGCGCTGTGGTCTAAACCACAGAGCCTAGGGCTTGCCAATCGGAAGGTTGGCAGTTCGAATCCCTGCGATGGGGTGAGCTCCCATTGCTCAGTCCCCGCTCTTGCCCACCTAGCAGTTCGAAAGCATGTCAAGTGCAAGTAGATAAATAGATACCGCTCTGGCGGGAAGGTAAACGGCATTTCTGTGCGCTGCTCTGGTTCGCAAGAAGCGGCTTAAGTCATGCTGGGCACATGATCTGGAAGCTGTCTGCAGACAAACGCCGGCTCCCTCGGCCTATAGAGGAAGATGAGCGCGCAACTCCAGAGTCGTCCATGACTGGACCTAACAGTCAGGGGTACCTTTACCTTTAAACATTGCGATATACCAATATATCACAATATCTGAAATAAGAATGGAGCTATGTAGAGGCATTGGTTGGCTTCACGGTTTTTCCTGCATTGTGATTTTTGCTGGCGCCCGCTCTTGTGATCTGCTGCCCCCTGTATGAGGCAAGGGAGAGCTGAGCCAGCAGAGTTAACAGGGGCTGCAGGAATCGAGAGAAGCATTGGTTGGCTTCACGGTTTTTCCTACATTGTGATTTTTGCATAGCACACACATCACGATTCGCAATATATTGCCAGGTCAAAAATTCTGAAACTGATATAACAATATGGACTTCAAACCGGTTTGGGGCGATGTATTGATATATTGCCCAGCCCTATTGTAATCCCAAACATCAGGCTGTGCAGAAGGAAGGCTGGTGTCAACAACATTAAGCCAGACATATTACTGGTCCAACTGGGCTTAAGGCAGCTTCCTATGCTCCTGCGTCTCTGCCCATCTCAATGGGGCTGTTGTTACAGATGGCTACACGTTCCATAGCCAACCTACCATAGGACACTTTCAAACAGCTGGAATGGATTCCAGCCACAAAGTGAGGGAGTAAACCCCGAATCATGTAAAACCAGCTTCACAGGGGCCACACGGAAGTCCCTTGGCTAACCCCCTGCTTGGAGCTGTCGCTTTCAGAGGTGTGAACTCTGCCCCAGATGCATTCCTGAAGCTTTTCCAAAAGTCCCCAGACAGCCATGCTTTTCCGCTGCAAACAAGAGGATCATTCACCGGAACACACAAAAAAGGCTCAGAGGAGACGCTGCAGTTGGGGGAGGCCAAAAAGGCAGCTAATGAAAAGCCCAATCGGCAAGGGCTCCCGAGATCAAAAGCAGCCCATTTGGGAAGGCAACATTCATCGCTCTGTCCTGCCACTTCCTGCTTCCCATCTTCAGGGAGCACAATAGACAAATCAGCCTTTTCACCACGAGCTGCGGCTGCTCTGGCGCATTAATGTGCAGCCATCGAGCATCGCCGGCTCTCACTCAGGGCCGTGGCTGGAGAGAGGCAAAGTTGCTGTGAAGCATGAATTGCGACCAATGCAAGATCAGCAGGCTGTTCCCCACTGCAGCCCAGAAGTGAGAACCCTGAACTGTAAAACTGAACCCTACTCCCCTTATTGCCACTTGCCTTTAGACTATCAGCCTGCATCTACCCTTTTATGGCAGGCATGGGGTGAGGTTTTGGGGAGGGACTTGGGCATGATGCTCCAGCAGGCTTGCCAAATTTCAAAAAATGAAAATCCGAACACAAAAGTTGCTGAGCATTTTTTTGGAGAGCCAAGGGGTGTTTTGTGACTGTTAAAACGTCCAAATTTCCCCGGACATTTCATCGTTTTCCGCCCAGATGCTGTTTACTAGAACCAAATACCGGCGATGTCTGCAAAACTGTGGACGTATGGCAACCCTAGCTCCAGCCACATCTCCCCACCTTCCACCCCTTATCTGTTCATATGTCCACACAGAGAGCCATAGAATTGATTCATCAGTCCAATCCTCATCACTTAGAAAAAGGAGCTGTCCATGGTCCCAAATGACTGACTACAGCAATGTAGGAAAATGGAAACCAAAGGATGGATTTCATGTAAACTTGAGAGATCCATGACTGAGCTCTGCTTGAGAAGTTCTGGCTGCTTCACCTGTATACCCATGCAGAAAGCCAGTCAGTGGCAGTTCAACCACCTGTAAGTGACAAAGTCCCTTGCCACCATCAGAGATAACTCGCAGCTGGTGAGACTCCTCTGTGCTAATATAAAAAAGCATTCTGTCCATGCACAAAAGGGCCCTTATTTGGGCTTACTTCACATACTAGAGCCCAAAGCCCTGATATATCAGAGCTGTGCTTTACACTCAAGTTTAATCTTTGCAACAGAGCAAGGGAGTCATTTTTCTTCTTTTTCCCCCAAAGTGACGTTTGCAAGACCTGAAGTCAGTTTAACAAGGGCTTTAATATTCCCATTTAAATATAATTTCCTTTTCCAACAGAGACAGCACCAAGGCTCCCCGCAACGCCTGGGCGATGGATACTCTCTCATCTGTAACGGATCCCCACACAAGGTCATGATTTGGAGTGATCCTAAAAGAGGTTAAATGAGAGCTAAAATATTGCAAGAGAGAGATTAATAGGGAGGCATAACGAGACAGAAAAAGTGCAGAAACAGGCAGAAGTGTAAGAGGTCCAAGGAGATTTATTCTCTTTTATCATTGCCCTTCATCCAAATTGCTCTGGATGAAATGCATAGCGCTTAACATATAAAGGCCTGAATCAACTCAGGACTTGGTTACCAGAATAGTCACCTGCCCCTGTATCATAAAGGTGTGCAGAAGGACCCAGGTTTAGCGTAGTATCTCCAAATAGGGCTGGGAAGGACTCCCTGCCTGAAACCCTGGAAAGCTGCTGCCAGCCAGGGCAGACAATACTGACATAGATGGACCCATCATCTGGCTGAGTATAAGGCAGCTTTCCTATTTTACATTCAGTCATAAGCCTAGCCCTGCCTTCTCCAGACAGATACACACACACCACACAGGGAGCATAGGCAAATAGTCTGCAGATGGCCTCTGCCATACGCAAAGCAACAACCATCAGACTATGACCTGGGAGACCAGGGTTCAAATTCCTACTAAGGTAGGACCTTGGGCCAGTCACAGCCTCTCTGCCTAACCTACTTCATAGGGTTGTTGTGGGGATTAAATATGGAGGGGTCAGAACCATGAAGGCCACCCTGAGATGCCTGGAGAAATAGAAGGGATATAAATGCATTCAATAACTACATTTTTCACACCCCGGATTTCTCTGACAAAGAAACACAAGACACTGCCTTATGCCAAGTCAGGCCATCAGTCCATCTAGCTCAGCACTGTCTACACTGACTGGTAGAGACTCTTGGGCTTTCAGATAAGGAGCTGCTGCGGCTCTAGCTGGAGATGCTGCCAGAGATTGATCCCCGGACCTTCTGCATGCAAAGCAAGGGCTCTCCCGTGGCCCTTCCCCAACCCATCAGATTGGACCCTGGTTGACATGTAAAGTAAAGGTAAAGGGACCCCTGACCATTAGGTCCAGTCGTGACCGACTCTGGGGTTGTGGCGCTCATCTCGCTTTATTGGCCGAGGGAGCCGGCGTACAGCTTCCGGGTCATGTGGCCAGCATGACTAAGCCGCTTCTCGCGAACCAGAGCAGCACACGGAAACGCCGTTTACCATCCTGCCGGAGTGGTACCTATTTATCTACTTGCACTTTGAGGTGCTTTCGAACTGCTAGGTTGGCAGGAGCAGGGACTGAGCAACAGGAGCTCACCCCATCACAGGGATTCGAACCGCCGACCTTCTGATCGGCAAGTCCTAGGCTCTGTGGTTTAACCCACAGCGCCACCCGCATCCCCAAATGTATGGTAGGGACCTGTATATTGTATTATCTGCAAGGGGGGGAAATGAATGATCGGCAAGTTCTAGGCTCTGTGGTTTAATCCGCAGCACCACCCGTGTCCCTTTGGTTGACATGTATGAATCCCCCAAATCTGTTTTCTCACATATATAGGATGTTCACCTCTTAAGGAGCTTTTTAGAAATGTATTAAATGGTTTTAAATATGTAAGACCAAGTGTCACACCCTGGTCTTTCCAATCACTAAAATCAGTGCTAGGCTTCAGGTGGAATTGGCTTGCTTTGCCCATATTGAATCAAGCATTACTGTATTCGTCCGAAACCTGCCTCTAATATTTCCCCAACACAGTTCTGCTTAGGATAAATTGACAGAAGATGACGCAGGTTGTTTTCAAACACCAAGTGATGCTCTCTTGGCTTGGCAAGGCACATACATCCTTGGTGACTCAATCTGCAGTGAAGAACAAGTGGTGTGTCTCCCCACCCCCACCCCCGCCCAAGTTGGCAGGCTGTCCCGGAAAAGAAAGCCAGGATTCTGTGCCACCCAAAAGGAAAGTCAATATCTTTAGTGCTTTAGACCCGCTCCAGCAAAAACAGAGCAGCCCAAAGGGAAGTCAAAGTTGCATCAATTACAAGGAAGACAGTGCAAGTTCATGAACAGAAACAAATGGAACAAAAGTAGTTCGTTTGTGCTGGATTGAGCTCACTTGCTATGAAGCTGTTATTATTACTTGCATTTATATCTCACCTTTTTCTCCAAGCAGCTCAAGGCAGTGTATATGGTTTTAATCTCCACAACAACCCTGTGAGGTAGGGTTTATGATGCGAGATAGCAAGTGGCCCAAGGCCACCCTGTGAATTTCATGGCCAAATGAGGATTTGAACCCTGGTCTTCCAGGTCCTAGTCTGAAGCTCTAGCCACTACGCCACACAGCCTTTCAAGCTGTACCTCACAGCCCAACACCACCTGCTTTCAACATCCTACACAAGATGCCTTGATTTTTAAAAAGCAACACAGCACTAGAATGCTTCCAGGCCAGCATTATATAGGAACACAGGAAGTTGCCTTAAGTCAGACTGTTGGGTCATCTAGCTCAGTCCTGCTGACCCTGACTGGCAGCAACTCTCCAGGTTTCTGAAAGGGATGTTCCCAGCTCCATCTGGAGATCCCAGAGAATGGGACCTTCTGCGTGCAAAGCACTACAACTGCAGCTCATGATGTAAAAATGAAGATAGATCTCTGGCCTCCGGGTTCTGAGCAAAGGGGTGATGAGCATAAAAAGCTGTTCTATACAGACAAACCATTGCCTCACCTGGCTCAATATCGTCTACACTGACCGAAACCTTGGAAAGCTGCTAGCAGGCACTACCTGGAGATGCAGGGGAATGAATCTGGGACCTTCTGCATGCAAAGCAGCCGCACCTGCCACTGACCATGGTGCTGATTGTCAGAGGAGTGCTCTTCCTATATGCAGGTTTCCTGCAGAACCCATCTAATAAGCAACAGGAATGGTCATTGCCTTCATGTCCAGCTGGTGAGCTACAGAGAGGCATTTGATTGGCTACCAATGTCCCCTCCTTTTCTTCCAGTGTGGCCCTTTCCACATTCAAAGGCGCAGCTTCCTACCAACTCAGAGTCGCTGATGCCATGCACCAGAAGCCTGTTTTCTTCCACAGCTCTCAAAATATGTATTCTTACTGTTCTTAAGCGGTTTATTATGACCAATTGTTTATCTGCATAACTACTGGGGAGGGGGCGGGGGGAAGACAGAATGCTGAGCATCTTCTATCAGAAGCATTGATCTTGCAAAGCCCCCAGAGAGAAATACAATTAACCATAACAGAAGGAACGAACTCTGGCTGTTGACTGATGAGTTGCTGTATTAAGACACCCGGTTCAATTAAGCTAAGAGCTTTCTTTCATTCTTGCAGTGATGGTTCCTAAAGCAAAACAGAACAGCAGCAACAGAAAAAAGCCCTCTGCATTACAATGAAACCAATGTTTAAAAGTGTACCGAAATGGTCCAAAGTAGCAGGAGTATTTTAATGTGAGGTTCTAAGCAACTCAGTTTCTGCTAATGTACCCTTGCTGCAGAATATGACGGGCTGTCAACATAAAGATTTAATTTAGCATTGTTGCCTTGGCACTGTAACTAAACAACAAGGCATATAAAACTCTGGCAAATAAACAGTGGGCCAGAACTCAGAGAAAAAATGGCTCATTAAACACAGTCTATAGAACTAAAATGCTGGTGTCAAATGGTACGAAATTCCAGTCTCTAGCAGGGAACCTGAAACTGGATTGTCATGTTGCAAGATTTTCATGGAGAAGCCACAGCTAATCACCCTAAATGGGCCTGTGAAGAAAGAGGTGTGTTGAATCTAGGTTTCTACTCCTTGTGGGGTTCTAAAATGTATGACAATACTCAGAGGAAGGGGGGTGTCTAGTTTTTTAGGGTTTCTTCATAGCCATAAGTAGAGCAAGCAACTAATAGAAGCAAAATTATTCACATGCACAGAACCCACATACTTACAGAATGTAAGAGCATTGCTGGATGAGGCCAGTGACCCAACTGGTCAAGCATCCTGTTCTGGGAAACCTGCAAATAGGACCCAAGCATAAAAGCATTCTCCATCCCTGCGGTTTCCAGCAGCTGGTGTACAGAAGCACACTGCCTGACAGCAGATGCAGCGCATAGCCATTGTGGCTAGTGGCCACTGATAGCCTTCTCCTCCTTTATGGATTTGTTTAATCTTCTTTTAAAGCCACCCAGGCTGGTGGGCATCACTGCCCCCTGTGGCAGTGAGTTCCAGAGTTCAACTACACACTGCACAAATAATTGATCTTTATCCTAAATCTCCCAACATTCAGCCTCCCTAAATGTCACTGAGTTCTAGTGTCATGAGACAGCTTTGCACGATTCATTCCAGTTGCATGATTAGCCACCTTCAGGTGAAGAACTGGGCCTGAAAAACATTTCAGCTGGAGACCTGTGCCCTCATTTGTGACTCATCCTCATCCCTGACCACTGGTCCTATTAGCTAGGGGCGATGGGAGTTGTAGTCCCAAAACAGCTGGATGGCCAAGTTTGGCCATAGAGAGTTGGATTATGACCTGGGAGACCAGGGTTTGAATCATCACTCAGTTATGGAGCTCGCTGGGTGTCCTTGGGCCAGTCCCTGCCTCTCATCCTAACCTACCTCACAGGATTGCTGTGAGGATGAAATGGGGAAGAAGGAGGACAGTGTATGCCACCTTGATGTCCTTGGAAGAAAAGGTGGCATAGAAATGTGATGGATGAATGAATGAATGAATGTGTATTGGGGGTTCTTGAGCCCCAAAATGATAAATTAGTCTCCCCAATAATTTTTGAGGCTGGTCACTAAGAAACAACTTCTAACTGAAATAATTAAGAAAAAGGAAATTGTGACTGTAAATTAGTGTGCTTTGATTTCTGCTACAGTGATTTGGGGTTGGGGGTCAGCAGTACAGTATCAGGATATGGGGGAGATCCTATACCCAGCCTGCCTCAGAATGCCCAGGTCCCAGCAGGAAAGCACTTGGTTCAAAGACAAGCCACTGAGCTCTGGACAAAGCCTCTTGTGTTGACCTCAACTCCTCAGCTTGAGATGTTGGTGTTTCTTACATAGCCACCAGTGTAGGAGGATAGACACCAGTGTAGGAGGGAGAAAACATGCCCCCATTGACCCAAACCTCCTCCCCACTTAATAGCCCACTGCTTATATTTTTAGTGCAAAGACTAAGATCAGGGCTTCATTTTCAAAAAAAAAAGCAGCCAGGCGCCTTAACAAGACCAAATAATGCATTTTTCATCACTAGGAATATTCAAGAACTTAAATTTCCTGTGTACAAATTAGCTTTTAAATAGCAGGTTCATTCCTCTGCTGATCTCATTTGGAACCTGGATACAGAGCCTGGATTTCAAAGTGCATGAAAGGCCTCCTATGGTAAATTAGCCTCCCTGACGCTTTTCAAGCCGGTCGCTAATAAACTACTCCTAATTGGCACCGTTGAAAAATGGATTCAGGAATGGCAATTAGGTTGCTTTGATTTCTTCCGTGGCAATCTTGGGGATCAACGAGGGGTGGGGTGGGGGGGAACCAGAGGGCTGGAAAAAGCCAGAGTGGAAGACAATAATTAAGACGACACACTGTAGATGCACTTTGAGTGCCCAGCAATCTTCTTTCGCTAGGGAAGGGACCGCAGCTCGGTTGGTAGCACAGGTGCTCAGCATATATAAAAGCTCCACGTTTCATCCCCAGCATTTCCAATATAAAGAGCAGGGGGAAAGACTGTGGGGGAAGCTGCAGCCTGTCAGAAATAAGCAAAAGGGCACTCAAACAAAACCAAGCCTGGCTATAAGGCAGCTTCAACGCTCGTTGGCTCTTGGCAGCAATACACTATATGCCAGCCTCTGCCAACCTGGTGCCTCCCGCTTGCTTTTCACCACAAATAGCCAGACAGCTCACAGGAGCAGGTTACTGGCAACATGTTAATCCTCCGCTGAGAAGCAGAGTAGCGGTCCAGGGTTGTGGGGAACCAAACACCCATTTCTATTCGGCGTTCGAAACTAGCCAAGTGCCAGGCACATTTTGCACCTAGCTTTCAACCCCTTGCAACCAATTAAGAGATACAAGGGCACCAGGATGGCACCTGATATCTCCACCATCTGGGGATCATTGGATCTGGACTGCTTTCACACAGTAATAACGCCATCCTGTAGAATTCTTTCGGTTATATTTTATCGGCACACTCGGAATGAATTTCAGGAACCAAGCCGCTTTTTCTGCGCAGCCTGAGCAGGAACAGTCACCATTACAAAAAAAGAGGTCGAAATGGTCCAATACATATGTGGACTGTCCCTGGATCAAGTGACTTTTCTTAAGTTCTCAAAACACTTAACCTAGCTCAAGGTTGTCATCTGAACTAGCCAGATGTTTAACTGGGAATCATTCACAGCCAGTCCATCATTTGAAAAATAAGACTTTGGAGTCGTCTTGCCCCCAAAATGGCAACTAGACATTCCATTTTGATGACTGAAACCTTGGTTTAAGGAGCCATTTGGCACCTAGCTTACATATGAGTTTCTAATACTGTTCCTACTTCTGCAGCTGGATCTCCAGCACCCAAGAGCTGCCCAAACAGTGTGAAAGGGGACCACTGCATGGCCAGAAGTGAAGCACTTAGGAACACCAAAAAGACAAGAAGCTTCCTTTACCAGAGAACGATATGCAAGTTCTGCTATGCACAATGGAACAGTTAAGTCACTCCAAAAGAAGATAAACCCTCCTGATCCTTTTTTTCAGATCTAACACACGGAGATCTGCACTAATCATTGTGATGAATCCCTAATTATTGTTGCATAATCTTAAAAAAATATGCGAAATCTTAGAAGTGCATGGCTACAACTATGATGGACTTCTGACTTCGTCACTCTATGACGGCTCCTGAGAGCAGAAATGCTGGTTACTAATTCTGCTACCAGGTCACGTCCAAGGTTCTTCACAAAGCCCTACACAATTTAATTCACAAAGCCCTTAAGATTCCTTGTGCTCCTCCTTATGAGCTCAGAGGCCTTCTGATGGCAAGCCTTCGGGGTTCTCCACACCCCTGATATTCAGCAAGCCTTTGCCAAGGACCAAGCCTTTAGTGTGGCAGGCAGCCTGTGGAACTCCTTGCCAACAGAGGTTCGGTCCCAGCCATCCCTGTTCATTTTTAGACACCTTCTGTTACTCAGGCAGGGCTTTTAGGGAACACAGGAAACTGCCTTTCTCCAAGTCAGGGTATCGGTCTATCTAGCTGGCAGTTTTTGGCATAGCTCAGTCTGGAGATGTCGGGGATTGAACCTGTGATGTTCTGCATGCAAGGCAGATGCTCTGCCACTGAGCTATGGCCTTTCCCAGATTAAACACTG